TTCGGAAGCACTGATTCGGGTTTGTGGCCTTTCGGTCAAAACCGAATGGATTTGTAAAGGCTAATCTGTTAGCTTCTACGAGATGTGTTAACGTGTAACACATGTTTATTCGTTATAAGAATAAAAGAGAATAACCAAATTAATCGTGGATTAATGCGGTTACGAACGATCATTGTAGTTAATATGGAACACCTATTGGTGATTCGGCGCAACCGTGGGTATTGTACTCGAGAGTACGGTATGGTATTCACCCCAATCGATCGAACGTTGTTGCCGAACGTAAATATCAAGACGTTGATAAGTTCGGTTCTACCTCAAAGTATGTGGGGTGAGACAATACTTTGGACAAGTAAATACCTTTTAAATAAGGTTACCCTCATGAAATTCTTACGAATTGTGGGTACGTAGGAAGTTTTCCTACTAATGCCTGAAATGTGGGGGTGTCTTGCCAAAGGTGTGTATTGGTTCTTAATACATGAGTCCTAGGTTTTGGACGTACATAAGAACACAATAAATTGAATCAAGAAATTCATCGTTCTTTAAAGATGTATTTTTGTGAAGGTTCAATAAAGGCTCAACACGTTGAAAGGAACTTTCGGCGTAGCTGTGGTTGAAGGGTATGAAAGAGAACCCGAGCTCAAAGCTAAACGTAGCAAGAGAGCTAGGATTGAATAATCCTTTGGTCCAGATTTTCTGACGTACATGCTAGAATGTGACGCGCATATTCTAACTTGTTTACTAGAAAATAAATTGGTTTTTCTGACATGGTTGTTAGAAATCGAGCCTCGAACATATGTAGAAGTGGTGACTTTTACAAATGGACCAACCCGAGAGAGGCTACCGAGAGCAAAGCAGATTCTATCTTAGAGAATCATACTTTGAACTGGTTGATCTCCTTTCGGGTTATAAAACCTTTGGATCCTAACAAATCACTAGTCGGAAGATAAAACCGGTTGGTTATATTGAAGTAAAATGACCGGGCTTGTAATTATAGATTACATGTAACGCGAGTGCCACGATTACTTCGATATATATTCTCTTGTGATGAGAATGGAATGCATTAGAATGTTTCTTGGCAAAGTCGTCTAACGAGACTTGGAAGTTCATCGAAATGGATGTATCGCTTTCTTAATAGACATGGAACAACCTGAGGGTTTTGTGGTTCCGCGCTATGGAAAGAAAGTGTGTAATTGGTGAGATCATTGTATTGTTCGAAACAATTGCCTTAGTGTTTGGCATGTGAGGTTTTGATCATGCAGTGATGACCAACGAGTTTGGTATAAACGAAACTGAAAGTGTGTCTACGTATTGCGTACTGATGGTGATATCACTGTTTGTTTATACACGATAAACTCATCGTGGGCAGTAATGATCAAAAGATCAATTCTACCAGGATCATGTTAAAATTTGAGTTTTGACATGGAGGATATGGGGTTGGCAGATTTAATCCTCGGGATTAAAATTGTGAGAAGACCGTATGGTCTCATGTTAAGCCAATCTCATTGTGTTGATTAAATCCTTGCAAAGGATGTTAATCAAGTGGCTTGGACACCGTTAGATACTAACGTACAACTAGCCAATAATCACGAAGATTGTACATCTCACGGAGAATACATTCAAATTATTTGTAGTTTAATTGTATCTAATGGGTTGTACTAGGCTGGATATTGCCTTAGCAGTTAACGAACTCGGTAGATATACGAGTAACCCTAGTGTTGCGCACTAGAAGGCAATAGCGTAAGTTATGAGATACTTAAGGTATGCTCGTACACTAGACTGCACTACGTGGGATATCTAACTGTACTTGGAAAGTATAGCACGGATATCAAAGGATGCTAAGTCCATCAAAGGCTACGTCTTTACGTAGGCCAGTGCAGTCGGTTGGACGGAAATTCTCGAAATGAATTTGTGATAGCTAAGATCCGACGGGATCAAAGCTGAGAGCCTTACACTCGTGTCGCGAGCGAGTAGGCCGAATGGCTATGCCATTTTTTCGAGAATGTTCCTAGTGGTAAACTTGTACCTCCAATTTGTGTGCGTTGCGATAGTCAAGCCAAAATTGGTTAAGTACAGAGTTAGGTGTGGAATGGTAAGTCTAGACTTATAAGTCATTGACACAATACCATTAAACAATTTCTCACAACAGGGGTTATCTCCATTGACTACGTGATGTCAAAAGATAACGTAGCAGCCGCTAACTCGCTAACCCGAGGGTAAGCAAATGGTTGTTGAGAAATTGGAACGAGGAATGGGTCTAAAGCCCTTGGACTAAAAGTTCTATAGTGGATACCAAACCTAGCTGGCACCTAGGTTCAATGGGACAACTAAATTATGGAACGGAGCGTGTCACTGTGGGGGTCTCTGACTTCCTACCACTCCTCGTTAGAAACAGTGACTCCCGCACAAGGCTAGCACGTTGGTCCTTTAATGATTCGAATGTCGGTTGACATGTGTGAGTATGCGGGATACTCGGAAAAGAATCACCTATGTGAGAGAGAAGTGAGGGTCGCTTCAAAGGAGAATTGATGGGCACAATTCTTCACAAACTCTTGCAGAACCAGAACGGTGACCCACGACCAAAATGGGCACACTCATGAGAACAGAGCATGGTTGGGAGGTTTCTGTGTGAGATATGTCATCGTCTACACAAACGGCAGTCGGTTCAAAGACATCGCGTTCTACCGTACAGCCAGTAGAGTAAACATATCTTTACAAGGGAAGGTTCAAAGGGTATAGTGATCCCTACCTATCCTATGCAGGGATCGACCGTTGAACACAGTTGTATCCGATTTCAAAATACCCCGAAAATCAATTTTTCATTCATGTGGGGGATTGTTGGAAAAAATAGCTTGAAATGGCATAAAAATGACATATTAAGTGGCTATTTTGTGGTACAATTATCAATGGGGTCCACTTCCGATTTGGGTCGGGTCAAAGTGGATTCGGGTTCTTCGTAGTGAGACGAAGAGATTGATATATTGTACGCTCAAAACGGATAATGGGTGAATGAGATATTGATTCTCAAAGTAGACCCATTTGAGTTGGAAAATGAAGGGAAAAAGTGAACTTTTGTCCCACATTGATTTGCGAAGAAGATTTGCCCCACTATTTATACATGAGCTCTTGTTAAGCTTATTGAATTGTATAGCATAGAGGCTCTTTCTCACGCGTAGGGGGGTGCAAATCAAATCTTTTCGTATACACGAATCAGAAAGTAATTCTTTGAATTAATTCCAATTTTAATTTTTGAATTAACACTCATGTTAATGGTTGCCGTTACAAGAGTTGTAGGGGTGTCCTAAATGCCATAATAAAGGCTATTCACTCCTCAATCCCTATATAAGAAGGGGTAGAGTGCAGCAGAATTTTTCTAAGGAAAAGTAACAAGAACACACAAGAAAAATAATTTTTCCAGCCTCAAAATACTTCTGCTTCTACTTCGTTCTTGAAGCTGTGCTTTTGCCCGTGCTCTTGTTCGCCGGGTTCGTTCGTTTGGGTGCTCAAACGTCGAACCGTTGTACGTTTTATCCTGGGAGACCTAGGCCACAACACTCCTAGCACTTTTGGGAGGTGGCAAATAAGGTTTTAAGAAAAGAAAGGCACTTTGCCTAACTCGTACATTTCTTTCTTCCTCCTCCTTCTTTTTTGTTTTGGATTATGCTTTTAAGCAAAAATCCGTTCTCCCTCTTTTGATATTTTATTTGGATTGGACTCATAATCTAAGAATTATTAGTTTCAATTTTGGTTGATATATATATTGGTATATCTTTTTCGTAGATATATATGTATATATAACCTTTGGATCCGTTTTATATATATTTGTGTATGTGTATATATATATATATATATATATATATATATATATATATATATATATATATATTTCGGATAAATATCCAATAATATTTTATATACTAGTGTGTGTATATATAAATATTATTTTTGAGATATTAAATCGATTGTGGTTCATTATCACCAACATATATATATATATATATATATATATATATATATATATATATATATATATATATATATATATATATATATATATTATTTATTTATTATTAATAATTATTCGGAAATGAGGCGGGGCGGAGAGGTATCCCCGTCGAGGACGGGAAATTACAAAGCGATCGTTTATCAAAATGGAAAAATGGAGAATTTTCTGAGAAAATGGAAAATTGAAGAGGTGAAAGAATGAAAAATGAAAATCTTGTTTACTAAAATCATCTCTCCAATTGTTTAACTCCATTCCATTCTCCAACTTTATGTATAATTTTGGAGAAACCCAATTTGAACTTCTCCAAATGGAGAAGTGGGAGAAACATGGGTGGATAGTGATGGGGTATGGGAGGACTATTGTTTAATTCTTACTATGCACATTTGTTTCGTTTTCTTCCCTTTTCTTTCGTTTTTCTCCTTTATTATTATTAATATTATAAGTATTATTATTATTATTATAATTTATAATTATATTATTATTATTATTATTATAATTATTATTACTATTATTATTATTATATTATTTTCTTTTTTCTTTTTTCTTTTTTCCCCTTCTTTATGCACACAAATTTGTTGGTGTTGTTGTTGTTGTTATTATTAAATTATTATTACTATTATTATTGTTGTTGTTGTTGTTGTTGTTATTTTTATTATTATTGTTGTTGTTGATGTTATTTTTGTTATAGAAATGTACAAAAGCTATTTAGGACGATTGTATTTAACAAAATAGAAAATTAGAGAAATGAAGAAATGAAAAAAGAAAACTAGATAAATGAAGAAATAGAAAATTGAAAATGAAAAAACAAAAAAAATGAAGTAAACGACCCCAAACATTCTCCGTCCCTATTCCCATTTCCCGAAAGTTTTTTACATCTCAGTCTCTATCGGGGTGGCGATTGGAGATTCCCGTCAGGAACGGCGCATATTGCTAATTTGCTATCCCTAATTTGAATAGCGAATACTGGGAGTACGGATCATGGAACAGTAAAGAAATGAAGCTGCGATCACCTGCAATTCGCTTCCCATACACCCTAGGCAACTTGACTAAATCAGTCAACCACTGCTTATACCGCGCTATAACGACTCATAACTACCTTTCCAAGTACGCAGAAAACTATCTTGCTTCCTGTAGCTGCAAAAGCCAAAGCTTCACTGTCAATGGTGAAGAAGGAGATATTATTGATTTAGACGTTCTACCTCGACTACAGAAACATGGGTTTTTCACAGACGCGTTCCTACTAAACAAAGTTGTATCCACATGCGCGAAAACGGCGTCTTTAACAGCCGGCTTTCAGATCCATTCTCAGATTATCAGGCTGGGTTTTGCCTCAAACCTGCATATCAACACTTCTCTCGTTGATATGTATGGGAAATTTGGGACCCTTTCGTTAGCTCAGAAGCTGTTTGATGAAATGCCCGAAAAGAATGCTGTCACTTGGAATGCGTTAATTTCGGGATATGTGGATGCCAGCTGCTCTGAGATTGCCCTGGGAGTGTTTGTGAATATGCTGAGGGAGGGTGTTGATCCGACACCGTTTAGTGTTTCGACTGTTTTGGTAGGGTATATGCAGCTCGAAGCGTTTGAACTTGGGGCTCTGTTGCATGCTCTATCTGTGAAAGCTGGGTTCAATTCTCAGGTGCGGTAGGGACTGGTTTGATTGATATTTATTCGAGATGTTTGAATATCGAGGCTTCGAGGAGAGTGTTTGATGAAATGTGTTATAAGAATGTTACTGCTTGGACTTCAATGTTTACTGGATATGCTTGGAATCAATGCAAGTTTGATGCTATGATTTTGGTGAAAGGAATGTTGTTCGTGGGGATTAAACCAAACTACAAAACTTATACTAGTTTACTCAGCTCGCTTTGTTGCCCACATGACTTGGTTCACTGCAAGCAAATACACAGTTTGGTGATTCGAGAAGGCTTAGAATTGGCCCTTCACTTAGCAGCCACACTGGCATCTATATATTCAGCATTTGGTTGTAGCTTAGAAGATTTCTATCATCTCTGCTCTAACATTACTGTGTGGAACCAACTCACATGGAACGTCGCTATTTCTGGATTTTCGAATTTGGGAGCTGTGGATAAAGCTTTGATAATCTTTGGTAAAATGAGGCGGGCAGGTTTTGCTGGCGACTGTTTCACATTTACGAGCATTTTGAAAGCAGTTGGGGTTGTTTCAGGTCTCGAAGAGGGGCAGCAGACCCATTGTTTATCTTTAAAAACGGGGTGTGACTCACATGTTCGTGTTCAAAATGGGCTTCTTTCCATGTATTCCCGATGTGGAAAGCTCGAAGGTGCAGAGAGAATTTTCTCAGGAATGGAGAGACGGGATTTAATCTCGTGGAATTCACTTCTCACATGCTATGCTTATCACGGCTCTGGCAGGGAAGTCATTACATTGTTTGAACGAATGAAGAGTAGTGGTATTAGACCGGACTTGACCACATTCCTCGTTGTGATTTCCGCGTGTAGACATGCTGGATTAATTCATGAAGGACTCGAGTTCTTCGATCTGATGATCACCGAAGATTCTCTGCCTCCACCTAAGGTAGAGCATTACGCTTGCATTGTGGATCTCTACTGCCGGGCTGGTCTTCTACATGAAGCAGAGGGCTTAATTAAGCAAATGCCAATCGAACCAGACCCCTCGGTGCTCAAAGCTTTACTGAGCGCCTGTCGAGTCCATGACAACAAGGAAATTACCCTACGCTGTGCTAGAAAGCTCGTTCAACTTTGCCCCGATGATGTTGCAACTTATGTACTGCTAGGGAATGTACTAGCAACAGGAGGGAATTGGAATGACGCGGAATTAGTGCGCAAGGACTTGTGTGATCGAGGGGTGAAAAAGGATCCTGGTTGTAGCTGGATATGACGCATTTCTATTTTTTTTGGTGCGCCAGAGGGGCCGAGGCCCCAAGGTTAGTAGACTCTTCTAGTAGCAATGCCGTGAGCGTCCCTTTTCAATACCGTAATTCTTAGTATCCTGACTTAAGAACCTTCCTGACTTTGAATATGAATCCCCATATTTTGTTTCTGTACATAGCTAGCTGATCTGTTTTTCTGTCATTTCCTGATTCTTTATTCATTTGTTCTTTATTTTCAGAATGAATCTTGAACATTTTTACAGATGAAGCTGGGTGGACATTTGTTCATATTGATTGCAAGTTAGTATTATTTGATCTGTTTAGATTATATGAAATATCTTGAAGATTATGGCAATTTAGAATTTTTTGATTATTTTTTCTTCAAATCTTACAGTGTGTTGGTACTTTAATTTGTTGGTATGACCAGGTCAATTGTTGGTACTTTAATTTGTTGCCATATGTTGAAAGGGTGTACGCAGAGGTCAATTCTTGGATCAAATGACACCTTGTTCCCCTCCCACAGACACACCCGACAAACATGCATTAACACATGATGCTTTGCTCTTAAAACCTTGTACTAATTTCACAGAGAAGAAAGAAACTTCAAGAATTTCGAAAATTCTATGCAGATCAATGGCTCAACTGGATCGAAAATCGTCTGAGAGCTTCAAGAATTCCAACTCTCCAGCTTTCAAGAATTCCAACTCTCCAGCTTTCAAAAATTCCAATTCTCCAGCTTTCAAGAATTCCAACTCTCCACTCAAGAATTCCAATTCTCCAGCTTTCAAGAATTCCAACTCTCCAGTTTTCAAGAATCCCAACTCTCCAGCTTTTGAACGACATATACAAGGTTTTTTTTTTTTTTTTTTTTTTTTTTCAACTCTTAGGCTCTGTGTGGCAGAAATTATTTAGGAGTTTATAGCTTCTTACTCTGTTTGGTAATATTACAAAAATAAAATAACAACTTAAAATAATAACTTATTTTGAAACGCTACCACCTTCAAAAATAAGCTAGTAGCTTCTAAACTATTTTTTCCATCTTTATCGTTATTATTTTAACCTGTACCTTTCCAAATTAAAACTCTTTTGGAATTTTTTTTCTCCTATTTTTTTTATTCATCTTCGTTATGCAACTCCTTTACCGCCAAGCATCCTCCTTGTCTTCATTCGAACAACTGGGACCATTTGAATTATTACAAAATGAGCCCCATATGAGGTTATTTATGTGTTTTTTGACATGTTATTTTGTGCTTAACTTTAGGTGATGAAAGGGTGTTGAGTCCATTTGCGTCCCCAAACCAGAAGTGTTATGATCTAGAAGAAGCTTCCCCACACCAGCAAAGTAGCAAGAGATCTGTTCTCACAAAAGTGAAAGAAAGGGCAAGGAAGCTGCGGCACAGTTTTAGTGGCAGCAGGAAGAAGCATGATAACCAGGGTCATGGCGACGTCAGCACACCGACATGGGGTGTCACCTTAGAGGACGAGGATGAGGACGATGAAGATGAAGATCCAGAATATCTTGGAGCTCCAAGTAGGTACCAAATGGTTCGATCTTTAAGGTAGTAATGTCTTGACTAGCCACATTACGCAATTAAGCTTATATATATGCGCGTTTCTGTTGGGTGATCAGTGTATGAATCAGAACTGGCACCTGATTCCTATAAAGAAACTGCACGACAACACCCCCGAGCAGATCCTATGTTTTTTGAGAGGAATGCTTCACCCCAATGCGTACAACATTCGCAAGAATTCGAAAATGAGAATGGAAACGAAAGGTCTGATAGCTCGAATAATGTGACAGCAACCTCAGGTGCAACTCAGGACATTGATTCTAAGTTTTTAGGTCTGAGTATTAAGAACACAAGGGAGCAGTCATCAAGAGATTGGAAAACCGGGGAGAATTCTGATCATCCTGCTGGCTTGGCGAAATTCGGGCAGAATGGCGAGGGAAGAAAAGATGAGGTACAGCAAGGGATAATCACCCCAACAAGATGGGATAAAGGGGTATCAGTGAAGGAGTACTTCATGAACAAGCTTGAGCCCGGGGAAGACGAAAAAGCACTCTCAAAGGTCATCTCTGAGGCCATGAGTCCCAGAAGAGCTCCAGGAGAAATGGGAGTGGTGGAGAAAGTGAGGGAGGTTGTCAATTCATTTCTCCGGCCTCAAGAACCCTCTTCTCATTCCAATCCATCATCATCATCATCATCTTCCACCACTACTACAAACCCGTCGCTTTCCAGAATTAAAACCTCCATCAGCAACACAACTTCATCACCCAAAGCTTCCACTGAAAACTCATCTCCAATCATCCCTGTATCTACCAACCTTGATGAAGGTAACTACTATACCACTACGCCAAAAGCTATAGCTAGTAGCAGCAAAGGCGTAACTTTATTTCCTGGGCCACATTTTCGAAAGGCAGGGTGCTGGACTTGGCCCTTCAGGGGCCTTCGCCCAACAATCCCCAAGCCTATTGGCGTTGGATTTGGCCTTTCAGGCCTCCGCCCAACATATTACTTGTGTTAATAATGGCAATCTGATGAACATTTTTCTGCAGCTTGTGATGAACAGGTTCATGCAAGGATACCCCAAACAAACTGATCAAGACAGTACTTTGAATGTAACTACATATAGCAGGGAGTGAATTATTATTTGGATTCAGTGTAAAAAGTAGGAAGAAATCATCTGCTACCTCTCTCAGTTTTTATGGACCCTCTCTTTTTTCCTTTGGCTGAAAGAATTTGTATTAGTTGTTTCTCTATCTTCCCTTCTACAGAACTGTTAGCATTTTATAGGTAAGATGTAATGATTAATTAATTAATTTTTAAGGAATAATAATAAGAGTGGCTGACATGATCTCTCAGCACTTCAGTTTAGTGATTCCTCTCTATAGAGGATACAATTAAGCATTATTATTTTTGGGAGAAGAAGGAGAAGAGGATACAAGCATTTTCTTTAACTATAGTTTAACAATTTTGGACCTTTATTGGCCCCAAAGGCCCTTTTATTGGATGCAGGGTATTTTTGTAATGGGCATTCCTAAATGCTTTTGACTCATTTTTTTAAAAAATGTTCTTGGTTAGCAATTTTGTAACATATTATCGTATTTGTTTACCTACTTTTGCTATATATCTTAATATTGGATTCAAATTCTTTAATAATCATAAAACTCATTATCCTAACAATTATTATTGTGTGGATCATGGTCCACACAACTGTGTGGACCATACTATCAAATAATGTATATTCAGTACACAAATAATGAACTTTTAATATATTAAAAATATACATTATATCCGGGAAAAATACATTATTTGAGTCCTGAAAGTAATGTACTTTTAGTATATTAAAAATGTACTTTTTGTTATAGTCCACACAATAATTCGCCTTATTCTAAACATCAGGCCGGGGCAAAAGATGCGGAATGAGAAAATTAAACGGAATGTTAATTATGGCAAACAAATGAAAGTCAATGATGTTATCAGCAAAATTAAAAAAGTATGACTAAATGTGACAATGCCACACTACTGAATGACAAAAAATGAAATTTGCTTCCGCTATAAATGGAGTACTTTTGCTTTGTTAAGCGATCAGCGAATCATGCTGTCCATACTGTTGCTAGGGAAGCTGTTTCTGTATCAGGTTGCTGGGAGTGGTTTGATGATCTTCCTCATTATCTTGATGATTTAATGAATTAATTTCTTATCTTCAAAAAATGAAATTTGCTAAAAAAAAAAAAAAAAAAAAATCCCTTTTTGTACCCAAAAATGATGAAAAAAAAAAAAAAAAAAAAAAAAAAAAAAAAAAAAACCTCACAAATAATGAGGCTAGGAAGCACATGAACCACCATTTATACCAGACGAGTAGAATGTTAAAAGTTAAAAACTATTTTCAGCAGCATAATACACTCCAGCAAAATCACAAGATGCTCCATAGGCTGTCACATGAATCAACAAGTTCTTACAAGTTAGTTACACTTCTTCATTATAAACTAATAGAAGTATAGATTGCATTGACAACATTTTTGTTCACATCATCATCCTTAATTCCCATCAAACCAACAATTCTTGAATCACAGGAATCAATAATATGTTGTCACCAAAACATAGTATTGCTTCAATGCTGAAATCAGTAGTAATTTCAAGCCTGATCGTGTTCTTATTCTACAGTTTCTTGAGCACCCACCCTTATTGCCAATCATACAAAATCTTCCATAAAAGGCTGCCAGAAAACGCCGCCGCCGATCATCTTCTAGAAACATCTCCGACAAACATCACCCACCTAGTATTCGGAATCGCAGGTTCGTCAAACACGTGGGGGAACAAAAGATGGTACATAGAATCATGGTGGAAGCCAAACACCACCCGGGGCTACCTCTTCCTGGACACCCCTCCACTCCGGCACCTCCCATGGCCGCCCACCTCGCCGCCGTTCAGAATCTCCGACGACAACTCCAAGTACCTGCAGCCCAACAACCGGCGCCGCACGCCCTCCGCCGCCATTCGGATGGTGCGCGTGATCCAGGAGACATTCCGGGCGGCGGAAAACGGCGGCGGGGCGCGGTGGTACGTGATGGCGGAGGACGACACGGTTTTGTTCGTGGAAAACTTGGTGGGTGTTCTGTCGAGGTATGATCATAGGAAGATGTTTTATATTGGGATGAACTCAGAATGCATTATGAGAAACTATGATACCTCGTTTGGAGTGGCGTTTCGTGGAGGTGGCTACGCCTTGAGCTATCCTCTGGCGAAGGCCGTGGCGGAGAATATGGACGCTTGTATCAAACGGTATCCGTTTTTGTTCGAGAGCGACCATATTTTGCAGTCGTGTATTGCTGATTTGGGCGTCTCCCTCACTCAAGAAAAGGGTTTTCATCAAGTAAGTATAATATACTTACATGCAAGGAAAAGTTTACAATGACAACATAAGTAGTCAGGAATTTCAACCACTTACAGATCCAGATAATAGGGGCCGGGTCGAATTTGTAACTTTGTTGTTAACAAGTCAACACTCTGCCTACAACATCAAATATAATATAAAATAGACAATACAATTTCAACTGGTCATAGAAGTGAAGTTTGGAAAGTATGATCATGATCGAGTCTCATCAGCGGCAGTGTGAGAGCAAGCTCTCAAAGTGAGGGGCTCTTTGTGCGCAATAAGCAAAGGTCTAGCCGGGACGTAAGAGACCCTTAAGGTTGGGGTTCTACCTTTTGGAAAGTAAAATGGACAATACTAATCAAGTTAGTCAGTTAATTGGCATGCTAATTATACAAAGTTACAAGTTCTTTCAATGACAGCGGCCTATCAGCTATCTTGGTTTAAACCCACTATGAATAATTTAATTTACTTTCTTGTTGTCATTTACTCAATATACATCCTCTAGTAAAAGTTGCAGAATTTCGTCTATATCACTCGAATACAACATGAAAAAGTACATGATAGTACTCGATCCAAAAGACACTAAAACCCTATTTTCCTCTATATATCTCTATACAAAAACAGCTAGCTAGCTAGCCTCTAACATTACCTTAATTGTTGTTGGTGTATATATGTTTGGCATGCAGATTGATCTAACCCAGGACATTTCTGGGCTGCTGTCATCCCACCCACATTCCCCAGCTCTTTCCCTGCACCACCTAGACGCAGTGGCGCCCATCTTCCCATCCATGAACCGACAAGAAGCCCTAAAACATCTCATGAAAGTCGCCGAGGTTGACCAGCCACGTCTGCTACAACAAAGCGTCTGCTACTTGAAGAAAAGCAACTGGAGTTTTGCTGTTTCCTGGGGCTACTCCGTACAAATCTACGAGCAATTCATCCCGCCCAGCGTTCTCCAGAAGCCCCTGGAAACGTTTTCCGAGTGTCGGAGGGGAGCCAGGCCTCCTTACATGTTAAACGCCCGGCGGCTGTCGAAAGACTCCTGCGAGGCTCCGCATGTTATTTTCTTCGATTCCGTCGAGGAAAGCGTGTTTGACCATGTCGTCACGACCTACTCCAAGCGATCCCCGCGTGGGCTGCCGCCCTGTGCCAACAATTCCGCCGACGGCATTGCCAAGATCCGCGTGCTTTCTCCCATGAAAAAGCTTCAACTGGTAATTATTACACATTTAATTAAACATCATGAATGGAGCACAACTGCCATTGCTAAAAACAAAAACGAACCTTCTTTTTGCAACTACTTTAACAAATGATATGGTCGATCGGTAATATCAATATATGATCACTTAAAAAAAAAAAAAAAAAAAAAAAAACTTAGATGATCACATTTTAGTGGGACTAATTTTAAGTTAGCAGGACCTGTCCCTAGAGCCTCTGCCAGTTTTATATATATATATAGGGAAGGGATCAGGTGCGGGTGGTGCTTTCCAAGCGGTTGTGCGGGTGGGCTTACATTAAGCATTACACTATGGCACTTTTAAGTACACAACAGACGTACATTAAACACACAAACAAAATACATTCAGAATACAAACTCACGCATCTTAAGCACAATCCTCACACACCTTAAACACAAAACTCACGCACCTTAAACACAAAAATACACGCACCTTAAGTTTTAACAACAACTCACATTAAGTACACACTCACGCATATTAAGTACAAAACTCACGCACCTTAAGCACAAGACTCACGCACATCAAGTACAAAACTCATACACTTTAAAGTTTTAACAACAACTCACATTAAGTACACACTTACGCACATTAAGCACACAACTCACGCACCTTAGACACAAGACTCACGTACCTTAAGTACAAAACTCACGCACATTAATCAACCGCACAACTACACGGGAAGCATTCACCCGCACTGGAAACATATATATATATATATATATATATATATATATATATATATATATATATATATATATATATATATATATATATATATATATATATGACTTGTTTGAGTGATGGGGAAGAAACCCAATTTTCTGACAAGTTTAGCAAGACATGTTTAAGGAAGAATTATATATATATATATATATATTCTAAGATGAAGTTATTAAGAATGTTACGTTGTGTGTTTGGTTGGTGCAGGTTGGAAGCAGAAGAGAATGTTGTGATATAGTTGAGATAGTAGGGATGGATACAATGGGAATAATGCTAAGGAGTTGTATGAAGAATGAAATAGTTGGGTGAAGTTAGCTTAGCTAGTATAGGTTGCATTCCATCCATCTGCTACAATAATAAGATATATATATATATATATGCCCCAATAATAACTTTCTGTCTAGCTAGCTACTCCATTCTCTCCTCCTAATAAATTTTTAGGTAAACAAAATGTAGTCCATTGTTTTATTTTATAAAGAGAAGGAACATTTATTTACATTTATATGCTCATATAGTACTATGTAAAGTTCTAGAAAAATAAAATTTCAAAAATCTTCTACATATTTCAAGTACACACCCATATATTCTAGGGAATATGTGTGTGTGTTGGTCTAGTCCACACAAAGTTAATTTACCACAACATTTGACAATAAGACAATTTATATGTTCCAAAAAAAAAAAAAAAAAAAAAAAAAACTCAACTAGTTAACCAATCAACCCAAAATAAGTTTATAAACTTTACTTTGTTAGCATTCAATTCGCAGAATGTATGATTCGAACCTTACCAATAATCATAAAGGGAGGTATGAATTTGGTCTTATTATGACACTAGTGCACAATCATTTTTTGGGACCCTGTCGACTAATCTCCAAGACAAGACAGGAGTAGTGTTGAGAGACTCGCACGGATTTAGTTCAATGGTTCAATAGACAATATTTGGAAAAAGAGATCAAGATTCGAACATCGACGGCGGCAGTGTGGGGATTATGTCTAAAGTGGACAAATCCCTTATGCACACTGGAATTTGACTTTATCTGTTGAATCATTGAGCCACCGTAATTTACATCAACCCAAATGCTCTGTTGGGTCGGAGTGTGGGGACCATTGGGGTTGGGGATTCAACATTTGGGAGAAGAAGGGAGAAGGAGTAGTGTTGAGGTATAATTCTGTCGCGGAATAGGTATGGAATGGCATAGCATTCCCAGTAATAGATATATTCATTTGTTTTGTAAAACTTTTTATTCCCATGAACAATGTTCCTGGGAATGACATATTCCTCCTATAGGGAGAATAGCTATTACTAAGACCCCAGTGATATTAACCTATTCTTGAATTTGAGGAATAAATTTTATATTTTATTTCCTATTTTGCCTTTGTGAACCAAACGTGCTATTATATTGTCTAAGCAGATCATGAATTGACATACTTTAAAAATCATTATATATTTCTCGGTTGTTCATTAATTGGCTAAACACTCACGAGTTTTTAAAAAATAATTAAAAAAAATCGTTCAATAATCAAATATAAACATTCCAATTAAGTAGTGTCACGTGAAAACGTAAGTAAATTTAGGAAAGAAAGGTAGCATCTCCCTGAAATATATTAGTCTACACAATTTAAATTGGTAGATGATTAGGAAATAGGAAGCTTTATATTTCTTGCCAAGGTAGCTATCTTTTTCTTTATTATTTTTTATTGTATATTGAAATGTTGATAAAAATATCTCTCCTATCTTTATTACATTTTTATTTTTCTTATTAAATGTTTGAATTATTGATCAAAATATCTCTCTTATCTTTACCTTATATTTTAATATTTTTCATTGAATATTTGAATTATTGATCAAAATATCTCCTCAACTGCTGTCATCTAGTGGAGTTGGAACGCTTATAGCCTAAAGTTTACCTAAAATTTGCAACCTCATTAACTATCAACCAAATTACAATTATTAGGAATTTTTTTGCTGAAATTTTTTATGGTGTCTCATTTATTTTTTAAAAAGAAAATTGTACTTAAATTCAATTAACTATATTATCAAGCTAAGTATGAAATCGGGTGTGCAACCATGTGCAACAAGTACGACCAAAATATTATTGGTAATAATTGAACTTGTGATCATCGAAATACAAGAATCGCATTTCACATAGTCAATGTCCATTTTGAAATTTTTTTAAAGGAATAAGGGTCAAATAGGTCATCTAATTACACACCAAAATGCAATTGAGTAACGCAATTTCATGCAATTTAATTTAAAATGACTTGTTTACCTGTTAATGTGCTGATGTGTCGATTCTTTTATTTAAAAATAATTTTAAAAATTTTATTTTAATACTTTTAAAACAAATAATTATTTTAAAAAAAAAAAAAAAAAAAAAAAAACTGTCGGAGACGAAGAGGCTCCATGGCTGGCCCTTCGTTTTCGTGGCTGGCCGGAGACGAAGGGTCTCCTTCGTCCCTGGCAAGCCATGGGGCTAATTTTTTTTTTTTTTTAAATTAAAATAATTATTTTATTTATAATTATTGAAATAAAATTTTAAAAATTATTTGTAAATAAAGAAACTAACACGTCAGCACATTAACAAATAAACAAGTCATTTTAAGTTAAATTGTATGAATTTTCGTTGTTTAGGAATTTAATTGTAATTTTTTTTAGTTCATTAACCTTATTGTATTTTGGTGCGTAATTGGATGATTTATTATTCTTTTTTTAAAAAAAAAATAAAACAAGAGACAGCGATTTTATATTGACAATTAAAAAAACTATTGACATTCTTGCAGCATGTTGTCATTCCTTTCATCAGATCATCTAATAAATTGTCTTCTTAAATTACTTGTCGACGGCGGACGTTGAACAACAATTACACAAGTCAAACGCCCTAAATTCGAGTAAGCAATATTAGTGGTTGATGCCAAGAATGAAATTAAGGGTTTAATTTGGCTTCAAACACATACAATACAACAACAATTATTTTAGAAGATCAAATATCAAATTTAGTTGATTTAGTCGCATGACACGTATAGAATTTATTTATATCCTATATTACGAAATTAGACCACCATTCAATTTATTAAGCTGCTCATTTTGTGTTATAATTTAATTTGTGTTACGACTAAATTAAAAAAGTCTAAAATGACGATCAATATCACAACATTTGCAATTAGATGTATGTTTATTATATTTACTAACAATTTGTAATAGATATATCCTTAACGTATTCAATATAATATGTAGCATAGTAGTATTGTTAAAATGAATTAAAGTAACAAACTGTTAAAACTAACCAATAACACGATGAGACGATCTACTAACGGGACATGATAGAATGACCCACGCTCGTATGGATAGTTTAACTGGTCATAGAGGTGAAAATTTGAAAGAATGATAGGATGACCCACAACTTGATAGGTCTCTAAATCTCCAACCCTTATCAGATCACAAATTATACTATCAAACATTACGCATTTTAAATTGTAAATTTTAAGTCAAAATGATAATCTGATTATGTATATACAATTAATATATTAGGGATGTTTGGCAATGGCTAATAGCTTAAATTAAAATAGATAGCTAATTGAATTAGTTAGTTTGACCATTTGATAATATTAGCTGAAAAAATGTTTAACTGTTTGGCTAAACGTACATTATTTATGTACTGAATGTACATTATTTAATAGTATGATCCACTTAATAATGATTGCTCAGGTAAATTATTATGTGATTTATGATCCACAACATTGTGTTGTGTGGACCATAACAAAAAATACATTTTTAATATACTGAAAGCACATTATTCATGTACAGACAAACTATTTGCTTGGAGATAGTTTAGGTGTAGTTGAATTATAATTTTGCGGAGATTACAATTATGCTGTTTGGTTAGGGAGAATTGTAATTCTTTCCAAATGCTAAATTACAATTTCGAACTCTCCCCTTTAAATTGTAATTCATTGTTGAATTGGAGATTTGAAAGGCATTTTTATCCTTGAGGGTATTATTATTATTATTATTATTATATGAAGGCATCAATTATTGTATCACTTACTCCCTTTCAATTCCCTCTAATCTTATTTTGCATACCAATCACTATTTAAATTCTTACTTTATTCTTTTCCCATCGAATTACAATCATTTCCACCCTAATTCCTTCCCTGTGGAATATACATCATGCAAAATAAGAATTTTAAATACTCAAATAATCTATTTTTAAAAATATAATGTACATTTTTAATATACTAAAAGTACATTATGAAAAATACTTGGTGTATTTCAAAACTTGTACTTCCTCTCACATGCTCTTGATATAGAAATTTTTATGTGGACCCACATGACAAAAAATAACAATCATGATTTGCCATTACAAAGAGTATAAATGTGGGAGTATAATTTTAGAAGTCTATGTAGTAGAACTCGTACATCATATGTGTACTGAAAGTACATTATTTGACAATATAATCCACACTAATAATTTATTTATGGTCGAAAGACGGGACAAGTAGGTGACAAAGCAAGCCTACCCAACCGGCTAAGCCCAGGTGTTTCGTGTTTTGGTGATGGGGAAGTGCTCTGTTAAAGTTGCACAAGCTGCTATCATCTAATTTCTTTACATTATATTGCATGCAGAATTCTGACTTGACTGACACAGCTTATATAGTTTTACTTTTCAACAAGATTCAAATCCAAATCTTTGTTTCGAAAATATTCAAAATCTGAAGATTTCAACCTATGACACTCTAATCAAACCTTAATCAACCTTAATAATTAATAATTAACAGTATCAGATTAGATCAGACGACACGGGATGCATTACAAGATTTCATTAACATTAGAAAAAGGATATGATCTGATAAGGAAATGATATGACGTAGCCGCGGGGGTTTACGTGGCCTTTTTCAAATCCACCACGACTACACTCACGTTGTCGGAGCTCCGCCTCGCCAGGGCCAATTTCGTCAATAACATCGACGCATCGGAGCAGACCTTGTCGGAATTGTCTATCCCGACGTCCTTCTCCGGCGAGCTTGACCGCCGCTTCTTCCCGTTCAGGCACATCCGTGCAACTCCGCATGCGGTATCGTTCGACACCACGTCCCAGAGTCCGTCGCTCCCCAGAATTATACAGTCATCTTCCGGCGTCCGGTCGGTGATTGTCACCTCCGGCTCACATATCACGTACGGCTTCAAATAGTTATCGCCTATAGCTCTCGACATGGACAGAACTCCCAGAACCCTAGGCCCTTCCCAGTATATGACCCGCCCCCCTGCTTCCTGGATCCGGTTCAACTCATCGGGGCGATCCGGCTGCAGAATTGAAATCAAAATTTAGCGCCACAAAATAGCAATCGCGAATAGTTAAACTTCACAATTAAATTTCGAAGAAAAAATTTGTTTACCTTGTGATCGTTAGAGAGGGGAATGGCCTTGCCGTTCCGGCAAAGGACGGCCCTGGAATCGCCGCAATTGGCGACGATAATTTTGTCTGGGGTTACAATTGCGACGACGGCGGTGGATCCAACGGCGTCGCACTCCGGAGTTTGAAGCTCGCACCGGCAACTGCCGCGAACGACGCTCTCGTTCCATGCAATCACCTCCTTGTCCATGCGACTGAAGCTCTGCTCCATCGCTTGTTTCCAGTCGGCGCTGGTTTCTTTCTTTTCCAGCTCTTCTTTCACGAGCTCGTGTAACCGCTCTTTACACTTCATCGCTACCTGAAAGCGGAAAAAGTGGAAAGCAGTTCAGAACTCCGTTCACGTAACAGAAATATAAAACAGGGGAAAGGCTTCTTAATTTGGAAGTGTTAAAGCTTACATGAGAGCATCCATGGCCGTCATACACTGCAAAATAGTGCAATTCGTTGTTATTTTCGCGATCCATACGGCAAAACCACGGATGAACCGCAACCGCATCTTCCATGTCCCGCCTCCGTCCACAGACGGAAGCCATGCCGTATTTGGGAAGCCGTACCAACTCAAAAAGCAGAGAGGAACCCGCCGGACTCAAAACCGGAGGCAAAAGGAATTTCCTCGAGAAATCCTTCGCCTCCGCCGTGTGTCCACTCTCAACCGCCACTTCACCCTCGGAGCCGTCGCAACTATCCACCGCGTTATCGCACAACCGCGAAACCGATCCCGTGGAAGTGGAGCACAGCTCAAACCGAGGACGCTTCAGTCCGTTCTCCGCCTCCGCCGGAGTAACTCCGGGAACGAACTTAATCCTCCTGATCTCCAGCCTCCTCCTCCTAGCCGACCGAGAGCTCGACTCGCAAGGCGGCGACGCCTCGCTCTTGTTCACCAAACCGCAACAGATCTCCGCCATCCACCACCCCGCTCGTTCTCAACACACGCAGATCAATCAAAACACGATCAATGAAATTTTAAAGGCGAAAATATATAAAAACACGACGCCAGAGAGATCAATGAATAAGACAGGGGAAACCATTAAAAAAGAGTCCCACTACCCCCCCCCCCCCTTCCCCTACCCCACCCCGCACTGTACATGTACAAAAACGGAAGTACCCTCGGTCAGCGCTGCCCGCTGCCCGACCACCACAAGTGCCTCCCCGCCTAAACGAATCCATCCACACCGTACATCCAGGACCAGCGGAATCACGCCCGTCGATTCCATCACAACACGTGTACGAACATCTCTTTAAAAATCCGATGCGTGGACCAATCAAAATCCTCCACGCTGCTGACACAGGTTTCCTTTCCCGACACGCATGTGGCTCTGGTAGACGCCGGTTTGAAATATCGGAAATTTCAGGTTTGATTTTTAAAATTAAAAAAAAAATTGAAATTTTTACAGAAACGTGACACGTGTAAAAATAAGAGGAGAAGAGAAAAAGAAGAGAAGGAATTTGAGTAGCTTTATTCGAGAAAAGAGGAGAATTGGAACGCAATGAGGGGTGTGGGGTAGGGTGGTATAGTACACGTAGCAGGTGATGACGTTGACACTGGGGTCCACCTTGTTTGCCTTAACTCCTGCAAGCTTCGCTGTGAAATTGCTGTGTCTAGTATACACTGTGCACAACTTTGTTGTGATTAATGTGGTTCATCGGTTCGGAAAGTGGTGTTCAATTACGTAGTACATTATACTTTTCTTTCATAATAAATGAGTTTTTAACGTCAATCGAATATTAGGTGTCGGGCCGATTTTATAAGTCAAGCCCATAGATACTTTTTAAGTCTACCGGAATGCCACAAAACCGCCATATTACATCGTGAACCTTGATCGAAAAACATATTGGCCCTGTTTGTTAAAAAATTGGTCTATAGGCCAATTTGACTTATTTGACAACTATTAATTGTTTGATTTAGTTCAAATATCAATATAAATGTTTGGTTAATTAGCTTTTTGCAACTCCAAAAGGCTAAAATTAAAAAAGCTGCTCCTAGCAACTTTTTCAATTAGTTTTTTGAGAAAAAAAATTATACCAAACAGCTATCAGCTAACAGCTAATTTACCAAACACTTTTCTACAATCAGCTAATGTTATCAAGTATTTATACCCTCTAATCAACACAATCAGCTAACAGCAAACAGCTGTCAGCTAACAGCCATTTTACCAAACAGGACCATTATCTATCTGCAATTAAAAGATCATATAGGGCTGTTAACACTGTTAACATATTATTACATGCATGCAGTTAACAAATTACAACCGGACGTATCCGAACGAGATTGATTGGAACCAATCATCTTTGACCATTGTTAGTCCCATCTCCCGATCTAGGGTTTCTAATTCAAACGAGTACCCAGTAAACCCCACTTCAATCCATGTCACACTAACTATTCCCAACCATACTTGAGGCCGGGAAAATCATTAACGTGACTAGCTGCTTAGTCATTTGATACTCTCAAAATTGAAAGTATATAATTTTTAGAACAGAATTCATAATATAAAGTGCAACTGATCTATATATGGTATAACAATTTCACAAAACCAGACTCATGTTTTATGGCATAACAATTTCATAAAATCAGACTCATGTTTTATGGACACGTTTATGATTAGAGCGCATTTAATGGGCGCAAGACGCTGCAACAAATAGCACATACAATGACACTAAGAAACACATGGGGTCTACTAGGTTATGACTAACGTAACTATTAGTCTAGGGCCCCCTTTCTATTAACGTCTCTTAATTGTTTTACAAAATGGCCTGGTAATATAAATAGAAATTTGTTACATGAAATAGAGATTAGACTTTTACAAATTAAATTGTTATATATATACTAAACAATAAAGAAATAATTACAAACAGCTATACTCAATCATGCGACACACGTTGATTAATACTCCGTAATAAATAACTAATTAATCTTCAAAAAAAAAAAAAACAATATTAAAGCGGATTTACCGAAGATAATAAATTTTATTAAGAAGATCTTATGCAATAAAATTAATGTGATATTTTGGTGAAAGAATCATGTTCCAAGCATTTACTCACCTGGCCTTTTCGTGAAATTGAACCCTAACTCATGGTAAATTTGTCTTGTAACTTTAGTCGTAAAAGACCACAAAGAGATAATTAAGCAAGCTTAAGTTATTCATAACTTATTGGCTAAAAAAATACGTCAATAAATTATTCATATTGAGAGTTAAATTTAAAATTTTGTGATTATCAAATTAACTGTCATAATTAAATATTATTTTTATTAGTACAAGTGAGGATATATATAAATTTTAATATTATTTTAAAATGAGATATTTTGGCAACTTAACAATTGAAATAAAATAATAGTTTTAAAAACATTTGGTTAGGAGTTATGAGAGTGGACGCAAGTAGATTTGAAAGCGTGATGAGGTGTAGCCTGAATTGACCGGAAAAAAGGGGAAGATAATTTGGTGAGAGAAGATAGATGTAGGCCCACGGGAAGAGCACATGACAAAACGGAATTCCAAAAACCAGAAATCAAGGGAAACCTTACACGTCCAAACGCAGTCTTGTGCTGGCCAGGCCAGCTTGTGGGATGAGACAAGGGATCGATGATTCAATGTATACACCTATCGATATTTGATATCATATTGATTCAATTATATTGTAGACGCCGTAATAACCCTCGTGACACTTTATAATTGATTAACATGATTCATTAATCAAACCACATTATAGTGCTAGCTTTCAAATAGTTATGACAATTCAACTTATAATTTTACAGGGCGTTTGGTTGAAAGGAAAGAATTGTAATTCTGTGAGAAAGAATAAAATTAAATAGGAATAAAGTATCAGGACTATGTGGTCTAATGATATCCGGGTTGGACTTTCATTTGGAAGGTTGTGAGTTCAAGCCTCAGTGGAGACGTTATTGGTTATTTTTGTTTCAGTAGGTTGAGAAAGTATATAAACAGATACTACAATGTAATAGAGCCAGTAACATTCAAAAAAAAAATAGGAATAAAGTAAAATTTTAAATTATACTTGTTTCTTTCCAATTGAGGTCCTTTCGTCAGAATACGGTTAGTTGAATTTTAAATGTAGGGGTAAACTCATCATTTCACTTGCCTATGTATTATTCTTAGTATTTCTCCATTTTATACGCGATATATATGAAGATAATCTTAGTCGAAACCCTAAAATGTTCCTCGTCGTTCCCCATTTGCTGACTACTCGTGTGTGCGTTCCTCTATTATTGAGATGTTTACAAGGTATAACAGCGAAATACGAAGAATAATACATAGACATGTGAAAGGACGAGTTTACCCCTTCATTTAAGTCTAATGAACCATATTCTAACGAAAGGACCTCAATTGGAAAGAAATTGAAAATCAAGAGACCTAAAGTATCCAAATTAAAAGTCGGAGACTAATTTCGAAAAATCACTATAGTCGGAAGACCATTGCTGAAATTAACTCATTATTATTATAAGAAGACAACTTGACATGAAACTCTTTAATAAAACACATTCGTACAATAATTAATTTTACAACTTTATAATTAAATTACCAACTACTACCCAAATTGTTAGGCCTATCCTATTCATACAGCTCTTGAATCCAAGCGACAGCAGTCCACCCCTATCACTTGCCACCTCAACCCCCTTTACAAGACTCGTTTTTCCAGATCCCTACTCCCGGTAGTAATCTTATATCACACGCCCTCGTAATCCTTTTCGGCTTTTTTCTGGGATTTCTACCTCATACTATACATCCCTCATTCCCAAGAACCGGCTTTAATTTGCAGATCGAATTGAATAACAAATAACTCCTGGCTAAAAATCATCCATGTCTGCCTTTTGACCTTTTCTTTTATTTTCTTTTCTTTATTTCTTGGATCAGATGGTTTGTGTTATACGAATAATATAACGTATGCTGTCATGTTGAGGCGGTATAAAGAAGGCAAAACTATTTTTCGGGACTAACTCAGTTGGTTCGATTAATTATCCTAAAATCTTGTTCTAATAATAGTATAAACTGTTATTGAGGGTTTGGAGATCAATAGGAGACCTGGCCAATCAGAGGATTATATCGGCAAAGATGGGAAACTGTAATTAAAGGAGAGACTCCTAATTTACCTCTTGGCTCTTGAAAAGGAATTCTATGTGCTTAGAAGTAGTCTATTTTAAACTAAAAAAGTATTGGGGAGGTCCGTGAAGGGCCAAGTCTAGTACACTCTTCTTGAAAATGTGATAGCAATGTATAAAAAAATAAAATTACACATTCGCTGTAATGAGATAGTGACAAGTGCTTGATTTAATAAGTGGTATCATAATTAGGGGCTTGATACAAACAAGAAAGTTTATGTATCAAAAAGAAAGAGTTAATACCAGCTGGAGTTGTACGAGTAGAGTGGTTTTACCATGTTTAGTCCTAAACTTTCAAATTATCCATTCGTCATCCTTCGACTTTCAAATTGTTACATCCGCGTGTGGTCAAAGTAACCACCCGTGGTTCTTCAACTTTTAAAATTTAACCATCACTGGTCCTCCTAGAAGGAACATAACTGGTTAAAATTTGATAATTAAAGGACCATGAATGGTTAATTTGGACTACGGATGGTAACAATATAAATGTCAAAGACCATGCATGGGTGATCAATTTAAAAGTTTAGGACTAAACGTAGCAAAACTACTATACTTGGAGGACCCCGGATGGTATTAACTCCACACAGAAAAGTGGGGAAAACCAGGAGCGCTGGTGGCATAGTAAAACCGTGAATGCAATGCAGGGTGGTATAGTGGTATTGGGTTTCCAAGGCGTGGTTTGTTATGGGCATGCAGGTGGGAAGGGGACACGTAACTAAGGAGGGGAGTGCATGCATGCATGGCAGCTGGGACTACACGGCAAGGTGATGCATGGCACGCGCACTGTCCTGAAAAAACGACCAAAAACAACAACGTTAAAGCTGCCTAGCTACAAGGGAGTGGGTTACGTGGAAGGTGCGTCTTTTGTTTGGAGTTTGAAGTGTCAACTATGCATGTGTTTTGTGAATCATTGTTGGTT